GGCGCCCCTCCCAGCAAGCGCAATTAGTGGCCGGTCGGGTCCCTCGCACAAGGGAGGCGGAGAGGGTGTGTCGTTGCGAAGGAGGCAGTAGGAGCCTCGACGACGACGTTGTCGTCCAACTGTGCGCAGGGTCGGACAAGGTGTGGGTCCCCCTGGACACGGGGGCGCGATCGATATGGGTCGATCGGTCGTGGTTCGAACGAGTGGGAGGAAAGTGGGTCCCAGATGGGGACACCGCTACAGCTGCGGACGGCCACAAAATTGCCGTCTGCGGCAGAGGGGAGCTCGCTTTTGAGCTCTGGGGCACAAGGTTCGCAGAGCCAGTGAGGGTCGCAGAGCACCTCCCGAGTAAGGTCCTTGTCGGGAGCCGGTTTTGGCGTCGGCACGGCTTGGTCCTCAACTTACGGACACTTCGCGGAAAGCTGTGGGTCGACGGGAGACGCATTCGAGGAAAGGTCACGAGAAGTCTGATCAACAATGCCGCTCTGGAACTGATGGCGGCAATCACCGACGCCGATGTCGACATCGGCGGTGGATTTGTACAAATCCATGTCATCCGGAGCGTGGAGTACAGGAGGAACTACGAAAACTTCTGTGGAACCGCCGCGCTGTCTTCAAGGGGCTCGGGGGAATCGGGGGTGTGCAGCATAGGATTCAGCTAGTCGAGGGCGCCACGCCAGTGTGCTGTCCGGTGAGAAGACGATCTCCTCGCGAGGAGGAGGTCGAACGCGCCGAAATGGAGAAATTGCTGAGGATGGGGGTGGTCGAGCCGGCATCATCCCCGTGGGCCGCGTGCAACGTTTTTGTCAGAAAGAAAGACGGGACGTTGCGCGTGACCTCTGATTTCCGCGCACTGAACGCGCTGACGGTCACAGATACGTATCCAATGGAGGACGTAAGGGCTACCCTCGACTGGATGGCGACGAAATGTATCTTCTCTACATTTGATCTGAAAGACGGATTCTTTCAGGTCGAGCTTGAAGAGGCATCGCGAGATTTTACCGCGATCCGGACTGTCGTAGGGCTGCCCCGCTACATTCGCCTACCGCAAGGAATGAAAAACTCTCCGGCCGTTTTCCAACGTATCGTCAACTTCATCTTGGGAAACAGAAAGGGGTTGGATGTGTGGGCGTTTATGGATGACGTCAGCCTGGGAACTGCTACTGTGGAGGAGCACCTCCGTTCTGTAGACACGGCATTAGAGACATTTTACAATGCCGGTGCTCGGCTGAAACTGGCCAAGTGCCAATTTGGGGTGCGTGAGGCGGAGATCCTGGGACACAGGATTGACAGCAAGGGCATCAGGCCCTCGGACGCCCACGTTGCGGCGATACGACAGCTCGTCGAGCCTGGAGGGGGCGAAGAACTCATGCGGTTTCTGGGGTTAATGAATTTCTTCGCGGACTTTATTGACCACTTTTCGGAATTGGCCAAACCTCTACACGAGGTCTTGGTAGGGACTGGGTTCAATAAGAAAAAAAGAGAGGCCAGAAGTTGATTATCCCAGACTGGAGTAACCGATGGGGGTGGCAACAGAAGAGAGCGTGGGCTGATCTGAAGGCGGTGTTGAGCAACCCGGAGTCTCTTGTGGCACCGAGGCGTGGTGCGAGCAAGAAGCTCATGACGGACGCGAGTGCGTACGGCGTGGGGGGAGTCTTGCTCCAGCGGGAAGATGACGGAAAGTAGCACCCTGTCTCTTTCACGAGCAGGAAGCTCACCGACGCCGAAAGAAAATTTACTGTGACGGAGAGAGAATGTCTGGCAGTTGTTCACGGACTGCGCAAATGGCGCTTATACCTGCATGAGGAGACTGACGTGGTCGTGGTCACCGACCATTGCTCGCTGAAGTGGTTAATGAGTCTCAAGGACCCGCGGGGGAGGTTGGCGAGGTGGATGGTGAGCATCCAGGATTTCGACTTCACAGTCGTGTATGCCCCAGGAGGGGAGCTCGTTGTCCCTGACACCTTGAGTCGGGACTCCGTCGAGAAGCCACTTTGCGCGCGCTGTTTCAAGGCGCTCGAGGAACCAGTGGCTGAGGAAAGAAAGATCGAGGCCGTCCGCGCAGTGGTGGAGTTATCAGGCCTCGGCGGTGGCCCTTCCGCCGACAAATTTCGCCAAACGCAGCTCGAGGAATTCGGGGACGTTGAGGAGCACGCAAACAAGAGGAGAAGCTCTGGGTACACCAAGGATGAAAGGGGGCTTCTACGTCGCACCAGGGCAGACCGGGAGCTACTTGTGGTACCCAAACGGCTGGTGAACGCCGTGCTGGACGAGGTGCACGGGTCCAAGCTCAGTGGACACTACGGGGTGAGGCGGACTACGGATCGACTCAGCAGGTCGTTTTGGTGGCCTGGTTGGCGGAGTGACGTGGCAGACCGGCTGCAGTGCTGCGTGGCATGCACTGCAGCAAAGGCTCACCGTCCCGCGAAGCACGCCAGGATGATGGTCTATCACCCCCGAAGGAAGTTTCAACAAGTCGCAGTTGACGTTCAGTCGGTCACGCCGAGGACTGCATCCGGAAGTATCAAGATTTTGGTGATCGTTGACACCTTTACGCGCTTTGCCCGTGCCATCCCGATTCCAGACGAGCGTGCCGACACCGTCGCCAAGCTGATACTAGATGAATGGGTGTCCATCTTCGGTCCAATGGAGAGACTTTTGTCGGATCGTGGACCGAATTTTATCGGAACCGTGGTCAAGGCGATGGCGGAGCAATTCGGAGTGAGTCGCATCAAGACTTCACCCCTGCACCCACAGGCGAACGGCTGTGTCGAGAGGTGGAACAGGACCTTGATGCGAGACATTGCATGCTTCATGAGCACTGGAAGCCAGGACTGGGATGAACACGTTTCCCTCGCATGCTTCCGGTACAATACTGTCGTGAACGAGGCCACTGGCTTGACGCCATATGAAGCAATGTTTGGCATTTCTGCATTTATGTTGTGGGGGGCTGAGGAATCCAGCCGCGTTCGTGGAGAGCCGTATGAGCTCAGCAGTCGCCTCAGAGATTTACACATCCGGCTTCTGTCACGGGGAGTGAGGGCGAGGGAAGTGGCCGCCGACGAATACGACAAGGACGTCAAGGATCTGGGATTTGTCGCCGGAGACCGGGTGCTGGTGTGGTCTCCGGAACTGGCCAGCAAGGAAGGGAACAAAATTGTCCGACCCTGGCTGGGCCCGTGTCGCGTTGATGAAGTGCTTTCCCCTGTGAGCTTCATGCTGAAGTCGGAGTTGGGAGGAAAGATAGCTCGCGTACATCCGAACCGTATGCAAAAGATTTCCGCCGCCGCCGTCCAGACTTGCAATGCCAGGAATGGAGTGTTTCCAGATGGACTACGACTACTCGAGCGCATGAAAGATTCAAAGGAAATCGTAGAACCTTGCACTGGGAAAAGGCACAGGCTGTTCAAGCTTCGCATCGCTGGCCGAAAGTCCCCAAAATGGACCAAGGAAGAAGACATACCTACCGTCATTGTGCGACTGTTCGATCGGAGTATCGCGGATCGTCGGCCGATGTAGACAGGTGCGAAGGAAAAGGGACGGATGTTGAGGAAGAACTGAACCCCACGTGTAAACGTGGACGAACGGATCGCGAACCGGAACAGGAGTGCACGTGCGCGCATGTAGGGAACCGAAAGGGCGGGTAATCCAGTCTTCCGAAGGGAAAAAGGGGTGCAGCTGGTGTCGCGCGTAGCGTCAACGGCAAGGAGGACGGCAATGGACGGTAGGAGTTGGGGGGGGGGAGGGACAGCGCCGGGTGGTCGGGAGCTGCTGGGTCGAAAGGAAGGGGGGAGGGGAGGAAAGATCAGAGACAGCTGAGGCCTCCCGGGGAGTAGTACTTAATCGCCTACCCTCAGAGATAGAGAGGGGAGGCAGCGAACTAGCAAAGAGTAAAGACAGCGGGCGGATTCCCGACTTTACGACTCGCTCGGTGCCTCGCGGTTGGATTACCGCAACAGTGCTGTACCGGGTAGAACACTGAAACTCGGGGTGATGTCACCACCTCCAGAGATCTGTCTGTTTCTTTTTCTTAATACGTCTTCAAACGGCAGGCCGCACGAACCTTTGTCATAAAACGACCATTTCTTCGATCTACCCAAGTGTAATCCTTGAACTGACCGTGACCACTGTCGAAAATTGCGGGTCGCTACAATTACTCTACAGCAGCGACTTGCCGATTTCAAAATGCCAACAATATATCTTACCCTATCTTACTCTCAGACTTTGTCAGACTTTGTTGCTACATCACACCTCCGACTTCACTTCACCTTTTCCAAGTCTACCATTTTCTGGAACCTCCTTTCCCCCGTTCTCGAACTGCAAAAACACAATGGTACACGGATATACAGTCCGGATGAATCGCGTCCGAGCTCAAGTCTGTCAAAATCAGAGCACGAGGACAACCGAGATGACTGTAGACAACTCTACTGAAAGTCATACGACGAAGCAGGTTTTCAAAAATGGACACAACGGAGCCATGACTCGTTTACGGAGTCGACAAATGCAAGCAAGTGGTGCAAAAGTCCGGACAAGTGAGCAACCTGATGCCCATGGTTCTGACACCGAGCTGTCTAGTCATCCTTTTAACAGCAACAATACAGACTATGCGGCAAATTCGGACACCGAGGTGACTGACCAGGCTTCCCGGGGCCGTTGTGGGAGTCAGTGGCCCACTTCGAAAGAAGATGAAGATGATACGACTTTGGGCAATGACGAGATTGGCCAAATCTCCTCCGAGGAAGATGGGGTTCTGGCGACAGGGTTCGAGGATGATGTGGTAGTAATCCATCAGGTGCTGTTATGAAGAGTAATCGAAACAGGTATGCGCTTGGAGAAAATGGCAGTTAGCGCTTAGAGAAGGCAGATATGTTTGGTAGGACACACGCTACGGCGCAAGACATGATTCAGTTCTGGTGCACAGCGAAGTCGTGCTGTTTCTGCATCCTAGCCCAGTCGAACGCGTTGGGACTCGAGGACAAAGAATAAAAGAAGACTTAGAGTACAGTAGGTTGAAGCCAGTAAAGGAGTACTTTTTGCACGGCTCTAGCGATGTCGTGTTGTCAAGATGGAAATCGTGAACGCGGGCGCGACCCACTCTCTCGGGCATACTTGTGCAAGCCAAAATCCCATTTGGCTGGCGACTCCAGCATCGGATCGAGACCAGTTAAATCGCTGATTATCGCATCGACCAGCTCAAGTGCAACCGCTTTCGACAGATGCGTTTTATCCTGACCACCATTCCCAGCAACTCAATTATCGCTTTTCCTTCTGGTCCTCTCTCCGCTTCTTTCCAACATTCTGTCAACCTCCACGAAAATAAAGTCCCCTGCGGTGGCGCCGTCATTGATTTGAAGCGTATTGACGTGCTGTGAACGTATCGAGACGCGCAAATGGTTGTCCAACTTGCCAACGAGCCACGCAGTAGAAACAAAGCGGATGAGGAGGTGGGGAAAAAATCAGAGCTGCGCAGAGGCAGAGGATGCGATTACACGTTGACGCTTATCTTCGGATACGAAGTATCGCAATGTGCCGGTGAGTACAACGGCCTCACTACGGAAACAGTTTACCGGTTCGTAGATATGCCTCCACCTTGCCGAGGCTATAAAAGTCGTTCTCAGGCCTAGACATAGTAGCGGCTTCATCACAGAAGCCCGGAGTTCCTTTCTTCGACCCCAACCTGTCTCCAGTTCGTTGACATGAGTCAAAGTCCACTATTGTAATCGAATCGTCTTCGCGAAACATGATGTTTTCGAGACTGATGTCGTTGTGACAGTATCCGAGCTGGTGGAGATGGCTTACACCACGTCGCACACTATCAACTACTTTCATATTGTCTACTTTTTCTCTTTTTAACCAAGTTCGTTGGTATAAAGTTTCGACGCATCTCTCTAGACACAGACCAACTACGCGATTTTCCTTCACTACGCAGCCCATATATCTCACAACGTTGGGATGCGGGCTCTTTGACAAAGCCTCGAGCACTTGCGCTTCGCACAAGAGACGAGCAGGTATCTTGTCAGGTTCATTGGCGTTGTAGTGAAATAGCGTCGGTATCTTCACATATCCAGTCTCGACAATATGCGATTGACTGACGCTGAGATTGTGGTCATATAACGGGAAGATGTGATGTTGTGGAATGAGGACACTGCTCAACGTCGCGACGTTGCATTCGTCTATTTTCTCCGGTACAAGAACTGATGACTGAGCTTTGTAATAATTCTCACCGTCGTGGAAGGTGACATACGACGCTTGAAACTGATTACATTCGTCTCGAAATTCCACTTTGTCAAGAATTTTCATCTCTGGCACGCCTCTTATGGCAATAGCGTGCGTATTGCAAGGCGGAATGATTCTTGTGCTGGCGATTTCGATTTGTCGTGCCGCGAGCAACGGCAACAACGAACACAACAGTCAAATGGGATGTTCGATCTGCTCTTTGACAAGAACAGAGCATCGATCGGGCGATTGTGGGGAGTGCACAAGGGAGGAAGGGAGGTGCAGCGGGAGGCGTTCTCGGAAAGCGAATCGAGGTGTCAGAGTCGCGATCAGGAGAATAGGTCCTGCGCGGTCATCCGCTCCGAGACGTCTGACCCTGGCCCCGTCTCATTTTTGCCCCTGGTGTTGCGTCCATGACTCAGCTCGCCTGGTATGCCGTGTTGTAGCGCATTTTTATTCGTTTAAATATCATTGGTGCGCCACTGCCAACAGTGGACGAAGCATGATGGAATCGCTACGGGAAATACCTGTCACTGTAAGTCCAGTTATGCTTGTGACCACGTCTTTCCAAAACTTGCACGGACGTTTATAGTTTCGCCTAAAATTTCCGCAAACGTTTTGGCAATGGTTTGCCGATTCTTTTCGGTTTTGTGGAAAAGTGGCTCAGTTGGAAGATATCATTACAGCTAATCGAGCTGTTTACAAATTGCTTACGTATGTTTCTGAGTTTCGCAGAAAAAGTTGCTCAAACTTTCGGCAGCACTTTGGGAACCTTTGAAACTTCAGAAACATTCAGCAACCTTTTCAAAGATGCCGGATCGCATTACAGCTCCGATCGAGGGTGGATGGAAATATTCCATCATTGAGGCCTTGCTTGCAGGATCCAACAAGGTCCACCACCGGGACCAATGGGAGTGCCGTTTGAGGCGAATATCAGAAAAATCAAGAATTTGATGCTTAAAGAACGAAAATTTTCCTCATTTCTCTGAACGAATGCGAAGGAATCGCACCCCAAGAGGTATCACGCTCCTGGTGCTGGGTGTGAAACTTCAAACTTCGGAATGCCTTTCCATTGCTGCATGAGCATTTTATAGATGGCATCCTCCCTTCTGTCTGAATCTTCTGAGCAATTCTTAGGACTTAGATATTTTGCGGGGGGGATCAGCGGATCTTCAAAGCAATGGTCATGCGGGATGCTTTCGATTTGCAACCAGTTATGATACTGCCACTTATTTTCGGGAATGTTATTTCTTGCTTCCATCTCATCTGCCGACACCCATTGCTCTCTCTCTTCGGAAAAGACACATGTATTTGTGGCTTTCAATGGACTCAGCCCCGTTGACGAAGTTTCATACGCTATCCGTTGATCGAACCTCGTCTGGACGTCAGGAGGGCTTATAATATGTCCCTCCTTATCAACAGATTGAGAAAGAAACTGCTGCGTGAGATTAATTTCCCGTCGAAGATTGGCTATGAGCTCTTGTTGTTTCTTGTTCTTGTCTTCTATATCCAGCAACGTCATTTCTAGAAATCGTTGGTATGTGCGCCTGGCTTTTCGAGACACAACAGCAGAGCGAATCTTTTTCTCCCTCTGCTTATCTTTGTCACGGTCAGGAAGGAAACGCCACAATGATAATCTCGAAAATTTGTTCTGACTTTCATATTCTGCAAACGCTTGTTCACGGATATGGGCTTCGATCCCTCGCAGATTCATCAAGATCGATTCTTGCGCAGAAAGAGGGCACCTACTCTCTTTGTGATCAGGGGTTGGGGTGATCACATTATCGTGAGGTTCATGCCGGGGCGGGTGTCCTCCCGCTTCTGTTGATCCCATCTGTTCGCTGCGCTTGACAATGAGTTGCTCGGAGTTGACCGACGGAGAGAGCTGTTTTTGAGTCAAACCCATGGACGAGGGCGCTCTCCAAAAGCAGAATGATATCAGAATATGTTCAATTGCTCTGTCGTCCTAACCTGAAAAGTTTCAGGTTTTTTGAGATCGAAGCCCCGACCCCGCCGTACAGAGTTTCAACTCATTGTTAATACGCTTTGCTGGGGGAGAAGACCGGGAAATCGGGGCGAGTATTGCCCAATGCAAAGAGAAAACGACCCCCCTAAATTTAGTTATGCGAAGCGTCTGTCAAAACCGAACATCAGTTTGCCTGTTGTGCATTTGCCCTCTGAGCCCTGTATTTACGTATGTTCTCGAGGGCCAGGATCCGAAGAAGCTCATTGTTCATAAAATCTCGTCGTGGCCGTTAGGACTGCCCCGTTCCCCTCACTCTTCCCTTCCTGTCAACAAATGCCCCATGCGGACCAAGACCAGATACAACCAGAATGATTTGTATGCATCTTGCACTGGAAGTAAAGGTGGCACTGTTTGCGCCCAGATACATACCTCCGTAGTTGGATACTGTAGTCTTAAAGCTGTGGCCTATTACTGTACTATCGTGATACTGTAAGTGGCAATCGTGTGAAAACTGTACATGACTTGTGTCTTCCCTGTGCAGGGCAAAAAAAAGAAGAAAAAATTAGTTGCCATGTAGCATGCTTTTGTTAAAACTTAGTTAAAATTCTTGGAAGAAGACATTAGCTTGTCTGAATAATGACTGTATTAATTAGACCAAGTGCGGCTCACATTCCAGCGACTCAAAGAGAGGCATGGTTATGTTGGGACTCTGAGAGCCCGAGAGAGCCCGTCCCAACACAGCATATCATGAAAACACAAATTGTACTGCTCCTGTCGCAATACTTCTGGGAACACATCGGCGCACATTTAGACCCGTTTGACGGCGAAATGATGAAAGACTGCAGACTGAAGCTGGAAGATGCTCTGAAACGTTCGTCTCACATAAATAAAGCGTAAAACGACTTGGTAAATCTTGCAGATGTCTCAAATATCTCACGTGAGGGGCGTGTCTCTTAGACACTACTACAGTGACCGACCGACAACCGAGTAACCAAATGAAGAAATCCAGTGGAAACGAATGGACAGCACGTGAGATACGAGTGCACTGCACAAGTCGGCTCAATACCCTATTTTCTAGCTTGGTATGGTGTTGAAGATTGAAAAACATACGCGCAGTTGATCTATCGCCGGGGAGGTGCTTTACGTAGCTGGTTAGGGGGCACTAGAATTTCTCAACCTCTTTTTTGTTGCGTACTGAAATTAACTCGATCGAGCAGCGGAGGAAGATACGTGTGCCTCGCCGCCAGATGAGATGAGAAAGGACTGTTGGAGGAGTGGGTGAAGTGTGTGATGATGCACAGTGCACCCCTCGCTTTGCCACAGAAACCACAGATGTGCAGGGAGCGGTATGTCTGTCCAAGATATCTGTACAAGAGCCGCATACACGACAATAATTTAATTTCTAATCCTTGACATGTCTTTCCAGTCGGAGCCCTGCCAACTTAAGCACCCATCGAATCACGCCCATGTCAAAAACCACATTTCCGCGTCTTGCCTTCTCCGGAGCCTCTACCCCTCCCTGCCCCCACTCTTAGTCTTCATGAAGGTATCGTGTTTGTTGCGCAACGATATCAAAATGAAAGGAGGACCACCCCTCCCAAGGCTTTTGCGTTCTAATCGCCGACCCGTCAGTGCTGATGCTTGCGAGGCAGATAAGCGCTATTGCCCCACTTATCTAACGCAAACTAGCCCTTCCTCCGCGCTGTTCACCTCTCGGGTCCTCCCATCTTCATTTTCATCTCATCTGTGAAAAACTCTGTCGAGAAGTACTTAAACTGCCTGAACTTTGGAGAGTCAAACGGCATAATTCCGTTAGACATGAGATGTTCCCGGAGCTCGTAATATTGCACACTGTCTCCATCCTTGGCGAGCGTTCTCTCAAACTGGCTCATCAGTTTCTGTTCGTTCTCTGGGATTTGATGGAACGTGATCGGCTCCTCGCGGCTGTGCCACCGTTGCGAGTACCGCTTGTCACTAAGTGCCTTACTAGGCCAAAACGGTATAAAGTGCCGCTCCCACTTGGACCGGCCTCCCTCGATTATCCGCAGCGGTACTCCGACTCGCCACATACACAAGCCTACTTGCATGTCGCCCGCCCAACACGAGCAGTACTCATGGATACACTCACCGAGGCGCGAGTAAACCTTTTCCATCGCTTTAGCGTTGATCACAATGCCACTACCGCCATGCGCAAACATACCCTTGGGCTTGGACTTGTCCGCCGCCCAGGTTCCATCACGTGCAAACCCGCCGCACCGCGAAATGAAGAATACCTTGCCCGTGTACACCGGCTTTTCGTCCATACCCTGCTGCATAATGTACCTGGCAAAGTTGTCGAGGAAGATGTACGTATCGTCGTCGAGCAGCAAGTACCACTTCTTGCCCGGAAACGTCGTTCGCAGTAGATGCAAGGCAGGAAGGTTCTTATCCTTGTCCCCCCTCCATCCGGTCTTGTCCCACCACTTTTCGGGCATCTCGCGCGGGTGTGTCTCGTTGTCTACACGGAGCATATCATGAGCGTACGCCTTGAGACCGACCACGCCAAGATCTGCGTCGTCACTGTCGGACACGACGAGAATGTTGGGGACATCACGACCCACGCTCCACCATCCTGAACGGCGCAGAGTAGCCAGGCGGTGGGCCGCGACCTCGTGGCCCGTCTTTACGCCAAAGGCGACGTCATTCTTGACCTTGTCCCAGAGCTCGTGCGTATTTCCCGGGGCGGGGTTCTCCTGAACCCACTTTGCGCGTGCGGCGTCGATACGAGACAGCGAGGGGCCAGGGGATTGTTTGCCGTGACCGGTGCGCTGGGACAGAAGAAGGAGAAGGAAGAGGAGAACAGTGGCAGAAAATAAAAGCAGCCTGACTGGGCGGCGTACGGAACCAAAGCGCCGGCGCAGCTTTCGCAGCGGGCGTGCAAGCTGCGCGTAGCAGCGGGCGAGACGTTTAGCTGGGGTGGGCATGTCAACGGAGAAGAAACGGGACAGTGGTTATGCCATGGGGCGGGAGAGGGAACTCGGGCGAGGGGGCGGGGCAGGGGGGTGGGGGGATGGGGGGATGGGGCGGGTAGGGAGGACGCCTGAACAGGTAGGTGTCAGCACGGGAAATGTAAAGGTGTGGGGAGCGGTTCTCGAGCTTTGATTGCGGCTTCAGGGGCCGGACGAAAGCTCATAAAAGCTCATTGAATCCAGTATACAGTGATACTGTGGACGCAATTTGCACACTTCATTTCAATTTGCACCTTTTCTTCAACCCTCACCTCATCAGGAGCCGCTGCATCTCCCACCAGCCCCCTCTTTCGCAACCCCTTCCCGTTTCTCAATCCCCGCAGCCATGCCACCACCCGCCTTCCTCTCCCCCTGCGCCCACACATCTCCACCATCCCGTCCCTACCCCCCTTCTCCTCCGCGCCGCCCACGATCCCTCCACCACATCTCCACGGCCGTCGCCGTCGCCGCCGTTTCTCTCTCCTTGCATCTCCCCCCCGCCGCCGCCTCCCCAACCATCGCCCCTGACGTCTCCATCTCCACCTACACCCCCCGTCCCCCGTACCGCACCCCCCGCCGCCCCCCGCTCTCGCGTCGCGACGCCGAGGCCGCCATGCTCCCGCGTCTCGCCGTCGCCGTCGCCTGCGGCGCCATCATCGGCACAGAGCGTCGCGCCGCCTCTGCAAACGCAGGCATCCGTACGCTCAGCCTCGTCTCCCTCGGATCTGCCATCTTCGCTCTCACCTCACTGCACGGGCTTGGTGGCGATCCCACCCGGATGGCCGCCGCCATTTCCACAGGCATTGGCTTCCTGGGCTCCGGCGCTATCAATGGCGATATCTCCGGGAGTCAACGCCAACTTGTCACCGCGGCAAGCATCTGGATTGCTGCCGCCCTCGGCGTTGCCGCAGCGAGCGGTTTGTTCAGCATGGCCCTATTGGGCGCTATCGTCACCGTCTGGATTCTACGGTGGCAGTTGCTGCATAGGTACGCACGCTTTTTTTTAGTCAGCCGGTTTCAGCGCGTGCGCTCGCTGTGGGATGCACGGAAGAAGGAGGCAGAGCATCAAAATGAGGCAGCCGATGAGGTGTCTTAGGATGGCAAGTATGACCAGCGCAAGTCCCGCAACAGCTGACCAGCATCGTAGCTGCCGGGGCATGCGCGTTTTTAGAGATGACTGCTGCAGCTCGCCCCTTCTCTTGGACTACGTTTGTCATTTGTATGCGCGACATTACGTATCAATCAATGATTGCAAGCCCATGAACTACCAGAAACAGAGCGAGACAAGTTTGGGTTTGCACGCAGATCTACCCGTCAAAGCACCTGTGCTCGCAGGATGTCTACGCTTATTCCCGGAAAATTAGAAAATGTATTTTTGGACGGTTTCCCCAACAGCCTTGGCCTCGAACTGATGTCTACGTTTTCGGTTTGCTGACTTTCTCACCTACGGCAACTGTGCGATTTGATCGTTCGTTGCCTGACGCGATTGATTTCGACTTCATCGACGACAGGAATCTTGCTTTGCACAACTGCGAGTTCTGAAGAAGAGATGGCTTTAGTCGTCACTTGCACAGGTTTTGCACGGGACGCATTGGATATGCTTTCACGCGGGTTTCCAGCACCAGGAAGGCAGTTTAGTGCAACGCAGGCATGCATGGTGCGGTACCAAGGGTATCGTGGAACTCTGACAAGGTGGCGGTTGTGAAAAAAAAGTTTTGAGGTCCGCCAGTCCGGTCTAGGGGCACGTCAGATTCATCAGGCTGACGTTTTTCCTGGAGCTAGTGTAGAGTAAGAGAACCTGCGCACAAATTTTGTTAGTTCTTGAAAACAGGCGTAGCGCGCACTCCGTGCTTCTTTTTCGACTTCACGTCCCGTCGTTCCCTTGACTCATGTCAGCCGCGCAACGCTACATCCCTCTTTTCAAGACAATTCTCTGTCGAACGCTCCCATGACTGGCTTTGTGCCGATCGTCTCATAAAGGCAAGACGCAGACATGTCTGACGAAATCACACTGTGCGATACGCGCACGGAGAAACACTGTTGCGTGGGCCGTGCACCCGGCAGACGAGCATGATTGCTTTTGTCCACGGTTCAGTCGCTGGGCTCGTTCACCTCGTTGGTATCGCACTGGCATGGAAGGCTAGAATGACGTAAGAGACAGTTGCGTTGCACGCCATATGCTCAGACGGACGCGAGCGGGCAGCGTTGCAGTGCCATCCTTTTGAACTGGATCGGTAGGGCTGAAAACCCTGACGTTTGGCCCGAGGAGGTCTTGTTGCTATCTGCTGTTGGCAGCAATGTCAGTTTCGCGCAAAGGTTAAAAGAGAAATATTTCGGAGGTGGTTGGCTTGCCACCCCGCGAAAGAGAGGACGCTGGCTGCTCGAAAATTATGCGCATCACACACAGATACAACCACTTAAGAGCGAGTGTTTTGAGGACGGTTAGGTTAATCTGTCGCTCTTCTACGTACGTCTCAGACTCTATCTTATATGTCCCTCGACTTCCGGCGATTGCAATCCTTTCATGCCACTCCAAATCCTCTACAAAATCACACTGTACCGCTACTTGCCGATTGCTGGCTGCACCATGCCTCCCTTTGGCACCTCCACCGCTGTCTCAGAGAAAGCCACTGGCGAGGTATGCGCCCCCTTGCAGGCAGGCACCGTCGACATTGCATCCCCTTCTATGTATGTGATCTCCGAATCGGTGGGATACCCCAGAAGAAAATCCATCGACCGCGCAATCTCGGACTCCTCGTCGCCATGGTTGGAGGCCTCATTTTGGGTTAGCGTGCCATCACACTCCCAACCATAGAGTCGCAGCATAGGTGGAATGAACTGGTCCTCTACTTGGATATCATCTATCGAATGGCGAGTGTTGAAGACACAGCGCTTCTCATCATCCTCAGCCAGCCTAATCTCGTAGTTCCTGATTCTGCGCCGGAGCTCTACGGTTTCAGCCGTCTGCGCCAATTTGTCGTTACATGATTGTAGTCTGCCCTCCTCTCTCTGAAGGATCTCGGCCTCCAACAAGCGAGTGTAGATGATGTTTGTTGCTCGGCAGATCATAGCACTTTTCTTGTTGCTCTCTTGGCGCTTGGTGAGCGGCTTGCCAATAATGCGGGTGAGCTTGAGGGCTTTTTTCGCGGTGTACTCGTTGCAGGCTTGGCCCTTGGCTCGAATCCTGAGGGGTTCCAGTATGGGGTGCGGAGGGGTCGATCGACTGCGAGAGCCGGAGCGTGGGCGGGGAGTTGCAGATGAGGAAGTGGAAGCCGTTGGGGAAGGGCGGTTCGAAGAAGTAGATGGGGTTCGAGAGTCCATTTTGGAGAGAAGATGTGGAGATTTGGATAGAGCAGAGGATGGCAGGAGAAGAAGAAGATAAACGCGTTGACAAGAGCGAGTTTCTTTTGTGACTGAAGGGGGTGAGACTTTATACGAGTTGACATGCCCCTGTTGACATAGTTTTCTACCTTCCTATTGGAGCGTTGACAGTTTTGGAAGTGGGTAGTAGGAGGAGGAACGGCGTGTATACTAGACTGCTCGACCAATCAGAATTTTGACAACTCTATTGACGAAGCGTGTCGAACTCGCCGAAACGCTGATGTAAAAATGTATCGGCGTGTGATTGGCTAAACGGAGAGCTGCAGAGGGCGTGTATTTTTGTGTTGACAGCCTGAAATGGCGATTTTGAGGGGTTATACACAATACGCTGTCCATGCCCTTTGTGCATGTACTTTTAGTCTTCTGCGACAGTGCAAGGTGCCGCTTCTCAGCCGCACAATCTTCAAATCAAGTGGTGTCAACCCTTGTGTACAACCTGGCCGGTTGTCAACTCTACCTTCATTGCTGTTAGGCCTTCTATGAGGTCTCAGGGAAGATTTTCTTTTTATTCTTCTATTTTTTAAATGAATCCGAAATGAATACCCCTGCGCTTCGTCAACAGCATGTTAGTACCTTCTGCCTGTTTTTTCGCAACCGTGCGATTCCATGCTACATTACAAGCTTGCGGTGGTTCTGTCCACATGCCTTCTGAACCTTGACTCGACGTGTAAATCCATCGCCGACCTGCCTCATTGGCTGTTAAACACCATTGTCGAACCATGTACGCTGAAATTTTCTACGCAAACGGTCCTCTATACGCCCCATTCAAGTTCAGACCCCCTTCCGACGGCATTCATCTCAACTTCGAACTTGAAATGGTGCCCCCAGTCCCCCCTTCCGTGAACCGCCTACATACAGTATGAGTGGCCGCCTTTCACTTAACCACCCTCAAATGACTTCAAATGAATGACTGCCCCTCGCCCATCCCCCTTCCAAAGGAGCGCCTGCCTATCTCCCGACGCTCCCAAACGATGCATGACCCGTTCCAACTGTCCCCACGCCCCTCGCCCCTCTCGCTCTCGCTCTCGCTCTCGCTAATAGCAAGAACCCATCATATCCAATAAACTCTTGCTCTCCCTCTCGTTCTCCCGCTCTCTCACCCTCTCGCTCTCGCTCTCTCTCACCCTTTCGCTCTCGCTCTCGCTCTCGCTCTCGCCCTCGCTCTCCCTCTCGCTCTCCCTCTCGCTCTCGCTCTCTCTCTTACACACACGCACACGCACACGCACACGCACACGCACACGCACACGCACACACATACACACACACATACACACGCATACATACACATACAAAATATCTCTTGCGTGCCGCCTCCAACTGCCCACACGAGCGTGCTACCACCGACCGTCGTGCCGCACGCAACCCGTCACCAGTCCACCACCGATGTGAATCCGATAAAAAGAAGCGTTTAAACGTTATGGTCCTTTCCCCCTACAAAATCCTCTCCACAACGGAAGCACGATTCTAAAACAACACCGACACGTTATGGACGCTACGCGTTTTGCATATTTCCGAAACTGAAACCCGCGCACAGCTCACCCGTGAACGATACGTATACTCAAGTCAACGCGCGCGCCGCCGGCGACTACCCTCGCACACCTCCAGGCGCATCCTGTCTTCCCACAAAATATTAGGCGCGTCGCGCGACGCCTATGCAACGACGCCGCGTCTCAGGCAGTTTTGAAGTGTCCGCTGTTGACATGATCGCAAGGCGTAAACCGGACGGGAGGCGGTAGGGGGGGGGGGGGGGGGGGGGGCCTTTTGGGCAGGACGAGACGCGTCAAAAGAAGCGAATCAATTTGGTGGGGCATGCGGAGCGCATAAACTGTTCGGTAAACGCGCTTGGCGTTGATGATCATGTTTGTTGCGCGGCGCACTGTACTGTAACATGGCCCTACAGTGCAGTCGTCGCGTTGATGCGTGGCTTGATCGTGCAACGCTTTTACCATGACCACCTGCCATGCATTAGGGCGCGCGTGCAGCCTTGGCGACTGGCGCTCCCGACCGCTTGCGCCACTTGGATCGCACGAGCAGGGCGGCTGAGGTTGGGTTGACGCACGACCAGTCTAAAAATATGGCAGCTCTTTCACACCTCGCGTCGGCTGACAAGCAAATTCTATATTCGTAGGCGTGGGTGAAGCAGTCGAAAGACTGTCTCCCCCACCACGCCGTGCGTCTGTCTAAGTTTCTGCTTCCGGGGTTTTCCGTTTCCTGCTGCGGCCATAGGTTGGGCCGATGGCCC